AATTCAGATCTTTTCAGAGCTATGTATGTTCAGATGAATATGAAGGCTGTAGATGAGAAATTTTATAGTGATTCCAAAGTATACATTGCTTACCATTTGCTGTAATGATTACAAGAAAGATACTGGCATTTTTGGTAGTGTGTGCTATAAATAAATTTGTAAAATGGGCCATTGCATGAATGATCCTTTTTGTCTGGCTCTGAGGTGGAATTATCAATTCTGAGTTGGAATTAACCGCCATTTAGAAGAAAAACACTACTAACATAAATCAGTATTCCTTTAAATAGCATTTTCAAATTGTCCTACCCTGTAAACATGCAATGGGATACAAGTTGTGACTTACAGGTTGTCTTCCAGTCTTTTCAGGTCATCCAAAACAAGTGAATGAACACTGTCCAATGAGCAGGACACAAAACAATTCAAGGCTGGAATGTACTTAACTTTCACAACCCAGTCATCATGCAGCTTGCGTTTAACACTGGGAGATTAAAAAAAACAAGAACGAACAAAACACACAACCATCTAGGTCAGTAAATTAGCATCATTTCCCTTGCTATGCTGGTACAACACCAAGAATGGGGAGGTTATCTTCAATTTGTTTTGTGTGTGATTGCATACATCATCACATTACCTTAAGACTCTCAGGACATGAGGTCTTTCAAAATTATCTGGCAGACCTGTATCCTACCTACATACCTAGGCACCAGGGAGGACTCTGGAGGTATGTATGTCTATTTCTTTTTTGAATGTTCAGCTCTATTAAAAATCGCAAGTACGGTACCTGCACAGTCTGTACCAAATCCCCCATGCTGTCTCAATTACCCTCCCATTTCTGTGTAATTTTGCATTCCAACTAATGCCTGGTCAAAATGGGCATTAGTCTTACTATGATTCTGTTTATTGCCAGCCCTCTTCATTAGTTACGGTCAACACATGAACAATTTGGGTACAGTTTACACTTAATTTTTCTTTATACGTATATTGAACATTTCTTACGCTACATTCAACATGGGTACAGACCCAAACCCATGTAGATTGTCTTTAAAAAAAAAGTGTCCATTAGCAGTGTGTTCTTGTTCTATGAACATTTGGCATTATTTATCTTAAGCTCAGAGGAAAAGTAAAAGAGGCAGCATGTAAATCACATTGATCACAGTTACATTCGAAATAGGAAAGTTTACTTGACAAGTTGTTTCCCAGTTTGTTTTGCTTCAACTGTGAGAAAATCAGGCCTATTGCCCAGTCTACCCCTAATAATAGAAAAGAGTAAGAATCCAGTAGCACCTTAAAGGCTGTGGTCACACATACGAAGTAATCCACATTCAATCCACTTTCAATGCACTTTCCAACTGGATTTTGCCAGTTCACACAATAAATTCCAGTTAGAAAGTGGACTGAAAGAGGACTATTTAGTTGTCAGCAAGCTGCCAATATATTTCCCTGTTCTCTGTG